GTAACTTATTTGTAACCTATTACAAATTCAGAAACAAAATCAGTCATCACAAATGGAAAAACAATGTCATTTTAACCAGTAGAGTCTAATTCTAGTATGTACATAGTCTATATTAGAAGGGATGTCAGCAGGTTTACTGCAAACTTTGTCTTCCAAACATCTCATGGATTCAGTGGATTCAGAAGACATCACATTATTGGGAACAAATAGTACTTTAACTACATATTGTATATCAGTTCAGTTGGATAATGTAATTATGAGGGTCTGTAGACCAACATAGATATGAGGTAATAGAGACCAAGATGACAGTTACTTTAATGTCATGAAACTATAACCCTAAACTATGCTACCTGATCTTTAGGTTTAGATCATGGTTATCTTGTGCATTACCATGGAATTAGCAAAGAACAATAAAGCTTGAATAATTCTGAGGTGTAAAATACTATAATGTTAAGACCCTCTGACAGACATACTTATTAAAAAATGCAAAATAGAAAAACACAAAAAGAAGAAATTTTGATCAAACTTGACAAAGCAAAACAAATATAATGCATGCTTATGTGTGACTTTGCATCATCCCATTCACTGCTGTCCCATCCCCTTCTTCTCCCAACCCCCAATTAAATGCAGCCACTGGCAGACAAAAGTTTTTATGGCTCTACTTTAGCTATTACTATTATATTTAGGAGTTGTAGAAGAATTTCAGAGCTATACCAAAGATAATGTTAGTTGAATTTAATTTTCATCAAAATTAAAAGGGCTGCAAATAATGAATTGATTTAATTAATGCAGTGATCTTCGCATGAAGAATAGTTCTTCCCTACCTACTTATTTATTCTATTAGCATTTTTTTAAAAAGATTCTGGTTAAAAAGCAAAACTTTATTTGAAATCTGTAAGGAATGGACATTTTGACCCACTTCTATTCCCTTCACAATTGTAAAACTCCTGAATATCTTATTTAAAAGTCATCAGTCAGTTCAATGGAGGTTTTGAGTGAGTGGTCTTAATTCTGCTTATATGTAATGAAGTAATTTTGTTTTTAAAATGCTTACCATGCTATTAGGTAAGCAAAGATTTGTGGGTCAGCTTGACTAAAATAAATAAATGAACAAGTGAATGTAAAATAATAAACCCTAAATTAGGCACTCAGAGCAGTATTGATTTGGTAAATCAAACGATCAACGTAAAAGAAAAAAAAATACATTACGTGAACAACACAGAAGTCTTTTAGTTTCCATAGAAATAGAGATGCATGTACTCAAGTTTTAATACTTTTTATTTGACATATAGCATTTGTGAGTAGCCTCATTTTTCTTCCCTCTTCCAAGTAAACATAAAGAACAAACATTTTAAAAGCCGCTTCATTCAGCCTCCTTGAAGGTTACCACCAATATCTGCCTACTTCAAGTTATATTTAAAGCAAATGTTTTAGCCTATGTCCCTGTTTGTGTCTAGCTCCCCCTTTCAAGTAGAACACATTAAAGCTCAAGTACAGCAGAACCTATATTAGCAACAGGCCAATTGACCTTTCAGAAAGTCTCTTCTAATCCAAATCAACTTCAACGAAAGAAATAAATAACAAGCAAAGTGTATTTATACCCAGCAGGCAAATGAAATCTCTCTTCCTCCCTCCCTCTCTCTCTCTCTCACTGTGTCTCTTTCTCTGCATCTGTCTCTCTCTCTCTCTGTCTCTCTCTTTTCTGTCTCTGTCTCTGTCTCTCTCTCTTTTCTCTCTTTCTGTCTCTCTCTGTGTCTGTCTGTCTCTCTCTCTCATTCTGTCTCTCTTTCTGTCTCTCTTTTTTCTCTCTCTCTCTGTCTCTTTTCTCTCTTTTCTCTCTGTGTCTCTTTCTCTCTTTCTGTCTCTCTCCCTGTGTCTCTCTCTCTCTCTCTCTGTGTGTCTCTCTCTGTCTCTCTCTCTCTCTTAGCAGTACTGAAAAATACAGACTCCAATATCATTTATAAGAATTGAGGCTTGTTAAACTGACCAAACAGGCAAAAGAATGTTTTTTTGAATGTCCAAATTAATCAGCCTCTCATATTAAATATTAACCAGGAAAGAATTCCAAAGTTACCAATAAATCCCTTTTCCTTCTTAAAGCACACAGCCTGAGTATCATGTGTGACAGCAATTTCACAGAGTCACAAACATACAATTTGATACCAGAGCAGTCGGCTAGCAAGAAAACTGGTTCATCGTGCAGGGAGGAGAATAGAGGCACAAAAATTTGAAGTTTGATATCACTGGAAAGAGGGATTGCTTTCTTTGCTTTTCTATAATAAATCATTTTATCAGAAGACACTGTGTTCTTGAGTGTTTGTTATCTGTTTCCAGTCCAGCTTGTCAGAAGAAGCCTGATATCATGATGGAAACAGAAGTGATGCTGAGTTATGAGAGGAAAAAAAAATAGATTTCTTGTTTTTATTCTTTAGTGTTCCCCACAAAAAAAAAAAAAAGGTCCCAGAACATTTCCAGTTCTGTATTGTCATGTGAGTAGCATGCATGAGAAAAAAACGGAAATCCAATTTCTACAACATCAATGCATTCTGCTATCCTCCTGCACCATCTGCTAAGTGTTCTTTATGGAAAAAAAGGGAGGAGCTTTTGAGGACAGCCTTGCCTTCAGATTAGGAGAAGGTGGACAGCTTCTGAAACCAGACTAGAATGAAAAAGGCACCCAATTTTCAGCTTTTAAAAAATAAGAATCTCTTTTTAAACACACACCATTTGAACTGCTGCCTTAAGCCTTAAGTTTTTTTCCTAGATCAGATTTCTTTACTCTTTGCCTTGCTGTCTGCATATTGTGTTAAACTGCTTCGGTAAGGGGAAAAAAACTTTCTTATTCCTATCCCATATATACTGCAGTAAAGGAAATTTACTGCCTTTAAATATTATTCACATTTTGCAGAGGGGAAACTATCTCAAACAATATTCTGGTGGTGGTGGTGTAGGAAAACAGTCACATATTAAACAGCACACTATGCTAAAAATATGAAAGCACCTTTATAAATCTACTCTATCAAGTTTTCCCTTCAGGAAAGTAACTTCAAATGTGGCCTTGATATACAAATATTAGACATAACTCAAATAATACCATCCTCGAAGTAGAAAGTTGGAGAATGAAATAAATGCTAATAAATATTTAAAGTTTTAGGACCAGCTTAGCAGGAGGAAAATGTTATCACATTATTTGTTGTTAATTAGCTGCAGAATCTTAAGCATCCATTTCTCTTGTCTCTTGTTAACCATGAATATGCTAATTAAAAGTTCATCCATAAGCAAGATAAAATCAGAAGGGAATGGTGATGCTTTACTGAATAAGCTGCTGGTCCTTCAGGAAAATAGGTGCCGTGGATCTTATTGTTAATCTTTAAACAGCAGGTTGTGTTCTCTGCATTAAGCCATATATTTTAAAATCATTGTTCCATGGTAAACCACAAATAATTATTACATGGTGTGGTTCCGATCTTAACAGAATAACAGGGTTGGAAGGGACTTTGGAGGTCTTCTAGTCCAACCCCTTCCTCAGGCAGGAAACCCTATATCAGTGATGGCTAACCTTTTTGCCATCGCGTACAAAAAGCGGAGGGAGTACAGGGGGGTCATGCAAACGCATGCCCACAACCATATTTCAATGTGCTCCCCAATGCATGTGAATGTGACCCCCCTCCGCTCCCCCCACTATTGGCACGCGATGGCACGGTGGGACTGGAAGGTCAGTTTTTCACCCTCCCCAGGTTCCAGAGCCTTTCTAGGAGCCTGGGGAGGACAAAAAATGTCCTTCCCCACCCCTCCCGGAGCTCCTCCGGAGGTCTCAATGGCCTGTTTCCTGACTTCCGGTGGGCACGGAAGGCCCAAAAATCAGCTGGCCGGCACGCACATCTGTGCTGGAGCTGAGCTAGGGCAATGCTCATGTGCCCACAGATATGACTCTGTGTGACACCTGTGGCATGTGTGCCATAGGTTTGCCATCATGGCCCTATACTATTCAAACAAATGATTGCCCAATCACTTCTTTAAAACTTCCAGTGTTGGAGCACCCACAACTTCTAGAGGCAAGTTGTTCCACTGAATAATTATTTTAAATGTCAGAAAATTTCTCTTAGTTCTAGGTTAATTTGCTCCTTGATTACTTTCCATTTATCACTTTTTGTCCTGCCTTCAGGTTTGAGAATAGGTAGACCGATCATCTTTGACAATATCTAAGGCAACTCCTTAGATATTGGAATCATGTCTGCCCTAGTACATCTTTTCACTAGGATAAACATACCCATATCCTGCAACCATTCTTCATACGTTTTAGCCTCCATCCCTGTAATCATCTTTATTCCTCTTCTTTGAACTCTTTCCAGATTCACAGCATTTTTTTTTTTTAATATTGTGACGATCAAAACTGGATGGAATATTCTAAGTGCGGTCTTACCAAGGTATTACAAATTGGTATTAACACTAAAAATACAACCACCTCTCAAAATTACACATTAATTTCATCTTGTCAGCTTTCCTTGCTCATAGAGCCAAGGGCAATAAATTCAACCATGAATTTTGAATTCAACAATGCTTGATTTCTAAACATTCCGGAACATTCTGAAGTTCCAAAGCAACTTTTGTTCTGGGAGTGAACCTTGTTCAGGTATTTCAGCAAGGATAAACTTGACAACACCAAGTAATAAGTATATTTTTCTCTCTGTAAAGTTATTCTTTGATGCTGATAAAGAGCCCATCTCAATAAGTACAGTTCAAAATTTAGAAACTGAGGGCCTTTGCCTACCCAGCTGTACACACAAAAGCTTCCACACAATCCTGAACATGCAAAATAATAATAATAATCAAACTTCATGTATAGAAATCTAAACTCATGGGTCCCCTTGATTGAAATCACCCATACTAGTTATGACGCTGATATAGGTATAGGGCCTTTTTCACAAACAGTGAGAAGATCCTGTAGAAGACCTCCAACATTCCTTTCAACTCTGTTATTCTGTATTGGAACCAGTGGTGGGATTCAGCTGGTTCTGTCTAGATCTTGTGAACCGGTAGAGGTGACTGCAGAAGGCTCTGCCCACCCGCCCGGACGTAATGTGTGACTACTGCGCATGCAGTACGCTTACATTTGCGAACCAGTAGGGAAGGTAAGTGAATCCCACCTCTGATGGGAACAATGTGTTTTAATAGACGGGTAATGTTGCTGTTCTCCATTTGTTTTCAGGAAGATTGACTTTTTCTTCTCACAGTTTATTGTCACAATCTCAGCATCTTTCCATCCAACCTGGAAGACTTGTGTAATTCATTTTACATAAGGCTGGCCTAGGATTGATTAGATTTTATGGTTTATTCTTTTCTTAGCATTGGCCTTACAAGCTAATCATATTTACTGGGAGATGGTAAACTAACTGCTATTGCTTTTCTACCTTAGTGGGATGAAACTGGAGAATGAACTCATATGTCCAAGAACTTTAAGATGTGCCAATCACTAAAAAGGTAATCATATCTGAGGGCAATGTCACTTTCCACATATTTATGTCTGCAAAGCTGGAGATATTCAACTATAATACTATAATGGAATTGAAAGGAGCAAAATACACAGGTATTATAAGAACTAGATCTGTCGAGATCAGACGAAAAAAAATTCAAGACAAAACTGGTCCTTACAATCAGATGCACAATCAGATGCATACCTGAACTGTAGTTATATTATAAATACAATTTGCATTTTACACTGGCAATGGTCAATCTTCTTTAACAGTTTTCCTACTTCTTACAATGGACCTACTTATTAAAAGAACTGTATACTTGAAACTGCCTGTAAAGTTCTCAGTCCAGCATCAACTGAGAACAACCTGACAGATATTAAGATTTGAAACTAATTCCAGTGAGCAGGTGGATGATGATGATGATGTTTTTATTGTATGCAAACTTACTGAAGAGATATTTATTCATTTCATTATAGAAAATTATGCCTAACATTTATTGTAATTCTCTAGCCCCTGTCACTTCCATTACCACATTATAGTGCACATAGCTACACTCCATTTTATTACCCTTTCTAATTATTATTTTCACACTCTTTATTTCATACCTTCTTTTTACACTTTGTTTGCCTTCTCAGCATTTTTCTCACTTACCTACTTGCTCTTCTACTTATTCTTGCTAAGGGTATTTGTCGGATTGCTAAAATGGAATGTTAATTGCCGCTTTAATCCATATGCATCAAAATAATAATAATACTGCATACAGATAATTTTTAGAACATGATTTGTCTTATAGATAAAATGAATGTTTAAGTGAAGTGGCTAATTCTGTTGAATGCTGTTGCCAGTAGTTCAGCAGTTCAATTCTCACTGGCTCAAGGTTGATGCAAGGTCTTCCATCCTTCCAAGGTCAGTAAAATGAGGACCCAGATTGTTGGGGGCAATACGCTGACTTTACAAACTGTTTAGAAAGAGCTGTAAAGCACTGTGAAGTGGTATATAAGTCTAAGTGCTATTGCTATTGGTGTCATTTCTGTCATTTTTCAATATCTTAATCTGATAGTTATTTCAGTTCTTAATCTGTATTTTCTTTAGAGTATCACATGTTAAGTTCTCCCAAAGGTGCTTTTTCAAAAGGCAACTGGATTTTCTTTGTTTTCCTTGAAGATGTTTAGCTTCTTATCCAAGAAGCTTGAATCCAAGAAGTGCTGAAGAACCTTGGATGAGAAGTGAAATGCTTTCAAGGAAAACAATGAAAATCCAGATGCTTTTTGAAAAAGCACCTTTGGGACAACTTAATGTGTGGTACTCTAAAGAAAATGCAGATTAAGAAATAAAATAACTCATATTAGGACATGGAAGAGCCTTGGTGGCGCAGCAGACTAAAGTGCTGTTAAGTAACACCAGCTGCCTGCAATTACTGCAAATTCAAATCTCACCAGGCTCAAGGTTGACTCAGCCTTCCATTCTTTCGAGGTAGGTAAAATGAGGACCCGGTTTGTGGGGGCAATAAGCTGACTTTGTATAAAAAAGAACATTGCTTGGGGGGGGGCGAAAGCCCTACTAAGCAGGGCAAGTATGAAGGCTATTGCTTAACTCATTGTAAGCCGCCCTGAGTCTCCGGAGAAGGACGGCATATAAATCGAACAAACAAACAAACAAACAAACAAACAAACGGAAAAATGACAGAAATGACACTAATTTGACCTAGCAAGATAAGGAATTCAAATATCTGAAAGAAGACATATTTGCTGCAATTAGGATTAGCATTATATTGTTAACGTTGTTAAAGCTTATGCTAGCTGCTCAGATTAAATTTACGTAGCATACTGAATTTTGAAATGGATATGCAGAAAGTACAGAGAACCAATCATGGATCTCCCATGTCATATATATTCTTCAAGTTTATGCTACATGTTAAATTAAATCAATAGAGAATAAGCAACTGATTCTTTCTCCTTTGAATAATCTAGCACTCCAAACAAGATCACGATTTGGAACTATAGAATTAAAAAATGGAGGTCATGCACTCCAAGCCAAATGATCACACACAACACTGCCCTTATTGCACCAGGGATATATTAATCATTGGTATTGGACACTAATGTTCTGCTGTAGGTTCTCTTCCACAATACCCTGTGGGTTTCATAAGAAGAAAGCGACATCATGGGGGTCAAATGAAGATGCAAGGTATCGGAGGGTCATGTCCGATGGGCAGAAAATGCCCCGTGAAATGATGATCTGTACAACGGCCTAAGGAATTTAGAATAAATTCTGTAATCCTTAAATCAATGACATTATCTTTTTAAACCAAGTTTATAGCATCTAACTCCTTAAAAGTTACAGAGTATATTACTGCTTGACAAGTAGTCCAATTTTTATTCCTTTTTGTTTAACATGAAACCATATAATTTGCATATGGAGAATTAATCCAGATCTTTGTTTAACCGGTAGAGCAACTTTTGCTGTCATTTCTGGCAAGTTGATTTTTTCCCCTTCCCTTTTTTTGTACATAAAATTGTGTCTAAATAAATGGTTGCAAAGGAAGACCATCTCCATTTTCAGTAAAAAAAATTCTTACTAGACTGAGGTGCAATTGGAAGCTTGAATGTGTATTTGTATGTGTGCAATTTTTATTATATCAACATAAAATATAAAAGCATAGCAGTGGCTTTTATGGTCTGTAGCATAATTTTTCATTTACTTTGGATATAAAAACAGTATTTATTTGTAATCTAACAAAAGAGAGAGAAATAAATGGGGAAAAAAGGGAAAGAAGTGCATTAAAAGTGTACTCAGAATTATATTATGGAAAACTAGTAACCCCTTGTGTATAAGAGTTTGCAACCAACTCAGAGCCAGTTTCTCCAAGTAATATGGAAGTGGCCACAGGGGAGGAATTTATTCAAATGGTTCTGAAGAAGCCAAATGAAAATAATAGGGGGAATGGTTTCCTACATGCACACAATAAAGTACTTTGAACAGTACAAAAACACTCAGCCGAAATTATCTCTGCATAGGTTAATGGAATGGGAAGCTAACAGTGTTATTTGAAATTTACAGGTATTTCACAAAGAGCTTATAAAATACTTTTTAAATATTCCATTCCCCTTTGGTCATATCATAACAATTTTCAATATGAATACCTGCGTGTTAATACTTCTGAAGCCTGTTCTTATGAATATATACAAGAATACCTGATTCAATGAGTTTGGCTTTTCAGGTTTTCAGCTCTTCATATGGGAGTTTCTGAATTTTCTAGATTAGGTAGGACTACATGACCAGCAAAAATGCCCAGTGGCAGTGAACAAAGAAAGCCTATACTAATGAAATTAAAACATTGCTGCTTTCCCTAAGTCAATAAAACTGAACATACAGAAAAAATGTACAAAAGTTATGTAAGTGGTTTTCATTTAAGGGCCACCCATTCAGCGACTGTTCAAATCAGTGGTGGGTTGCTACCGGTTCACCGGTTGCTACCGGAGGCTCCGCCCACCCACCACGACGTCTCTGCACATGCGCAGAAGCGTTTTGTGTGCACATGAGTGTGCACAAGTCCACAAGCGAACCGGTAGCGACAGGATTTGAAACCCACTACTGGTTGAAATGGTAGTGAATGAGTAGTAATTACAACTGGATCTCATACTTACATATGTTGAACTACCTGAAAGTTTGGCTTGATCCAGCAGAATTCTTATAGCAAAGGGGACACTGTGGTTTGATATCGTAGTTATACCACATTAAATTAGTGTTACTGCTTTAACTTCTAAAAATAAAGAAGCATCTTGACACTTCTTCTCTCAAAACCATGAGCTTCCCATTCTGGTTCGATCGGCCTTGCTTAAGTGTGGATTATTTTAGCGATCCACTCTTCTTTTTCTCCTGCAGTTATTAAGGGTCAAGTGGCAGGGAACCTGAAGGCTGCTTTTTCTGATCAGGCTAGAATCCAGAACTACTTTCCATTATCTCATAACGAGCATTTTAATAGATGAACTGGACCAAATAATTAGGACATGTTAATATCTAAGAAGGGGAGATTTAAAAAAAATCAGACAGTTTTTGTCAGATAAGTGGTTTCGGTTAACAGTTGTGTGTTACTTCCCAGGGGGAAAAAAAAATCAATTACTTTAAAAATGTAGAAGTTGTAAAGATGTTCCCTTTCAAGTGCCTCTTGTACTACTGAATGTGCTCTGCTTCATTAGAAAATGAATCTCATGCAGCACTCAGATAATGTGACTCTGGCAGTAGCTAAAGAAGTGACAGGATATATAATCATATCTGGGAACAGCTATGATGCGATTGTGAGAGTGGGAGTGTATCAAGGTATTTCTTGCTTTTTAGCAAATTATGGGAAGTATTATGCAGCAGGTTTACATTAATTTAGAAGTGAGAGTTCACACAAATGTCTCTACAAACTATATTTATACATTAAGAGGAAAGTGAACGTTTTTTTAAAAAAAACCTCTCAATTTTCTGTCAAAAAGTAGATAATGTATTCCTTCTATTCTGTACATAAACTAAGTCTGTTAGATCAGCATCTCATCTCTGCAAGATCTTTACCATTTCCTCCTCCTCCCCACCCCCAAAACCCGGTTTATTTCACATGATGGAAGGCAACAAAATAGTCCCAGCACTCTAAAATTCATCAGTATGAGTCTCAACATATCAATTTGAAAGAACGACCTTAACTATATGCCAAGCTTTTAGTTTCCCTTGAAAATAATACTTCTATTGTTTCCAAAGGAAAGTCTAAGTACCCAAAATTGCCATGCTTTTAACACAGTGACATGTTGATGGCCTGATGCTTTTTCAAGCTCAAAGTCTGACTGACAGGAGTCAGAGTGGTTTAGAGGAACACTGGAAACATAGCATTTTATATTTTGCAAGAATTATTATAGCAACACAAATGACAAGGTGACTTTCTAATTCTGTAAGTTTGCAAAGGAAAGAACTGAAAGCAAATTGAACCAGCAAGTGCTTTCTCTGCTTCAACTAAGCAGCAGAAAGGATCTGGAGTATGTGTTGATTCTAACTGTTGAAAGTGTAATTCTGCATTTATACCAGTCAGACCCCTCGACCCACTATTTCTGAGTATCTCAATTCTATACAGCCTAAATACCAATCATATAACTTTTAGGTTTAGGGAATTTTGAAAAATTATGGTGCTGACAAGGTTTTGACACAAGATGCTGATGGTTGCAGAACACAATGCAACAACATGAATAGCCTCATATGAGGTTAGCAGAATTGACAAAACTATTCCTAGTAAGAAACTCCAGAAAGAGTGATTTTGACCAAATCAATACTTTTGCTTGCTCAGGGCATATGTTCAACAGTTCCTAATTCAAAGTTATTGCAAATGGAAAGTGTTACACAGCTGTGAAATCATAATGTAATATGAATTATACTTGTAAAACAATATTTTTTCTTGCAGAAATGGTGCTTTCATATTTTTAAATCTTCCCTTTTACTACTCCTTTAACTATTTTTTGATCTTGTGTTCTTGCACTTAATTTTCTCCAATATTCAAAACCAGTTCATTACTATTATTTCCAGATAATGCTACTTTAATACTGCTGAGATCGGTACAAGAATTAATACCTATTTCACAGATACAAGATGTTGTATAAAGACAACTTTTCCACCCTCACTACCATAAAGTAAAGTGATTCCCTGGAAGGTCCTCATAAATGAGTACACATGTACTATTTGTACATAGCAGAACATACTTTGAAACAAAGCCATAAATATTATAGACCTGACAAAAACATTTGTAGGAACTCTTTGTGGAGTATGATAGTGTGAATGGAATGTCCAATCTCAAAGTGCAGCCACACTATCTGGAAGACTCTGAGAATATGAAGCTTTCTCAGGTTGCCTTTGCAGGTACCTGT